CCCCACTTTGGGTTATTTCGAGTAAGTGTAATTCTTCTCTTTGAAATGTCTCCAAATATTTGAGAAGAGACTTCTCTTATCAAGGTTAAACAGCTTCCCTTCCGGAGAAATTTTTCATGGTTTTGAGGTCTCTTTCCCTTTTCTAAATGCTTCTTTCTAAAGTGTGTTATTCAGAAAAATTTCAAATATAGTCTAATAAACATAGAACAAATGTTCCTATGACAAACACTATACTTTTGATGAAATCAGTCAAATGGTATGTAGATTATTTCCCCCGCAGACCCAGCACACTGCTAGCTCATATAGGGCTCACTTTCAGTTAAAAATCTCCATCCTTTTAAAAATTTATACTCCCCCTCGCCCCTCCAAAAAAAAAAATGTTGTACTCTTTCCCAATTCAAGTTCAATTGAGGAAAACAGGGACATACCTCTAAAAACTTTACAGACTGGCTTCAGTCCATTATCCTTTGAGTACTGTGTAAAAAACTTATGATTTAATTTAATTGTGTTTCTATTTAGCCCATATTCACTTTGTCCACAAAGATAGCATACAACCTTGTCACAGGTCTTACTATTGTCCAGATATGTTGTGTCTACAACAAGCATGTCAAACTCAAAGGCTAACACGGGCCAAATAAAGGTTTAAGTTTATGTGGCCACAAAAAAACAAAACCTTTAATTTTCATAGAAACGTAGGTGTTTTTTTTTTAAGAGACATGCTGAATACAAAGGGCTGAAATAAATGAGTCATCGTTAACATAAAATAATAGAACATTTTAATAAAAGTTAATATTTCTTCTTGAACATTAACTTATCAGACACCGAATAACTGCACACATTAATAAGCGTAACGCAAATAAACCTATTTTTCTTGTTCTCCGAAACCAAAATATTTCCTGTTGCGTACACCAAACAAGTGAGTCCAAGACTAATGAGGTGGCCATCGGCTGCTAAAATATTCGCTGCTAGTATTAGTGGAGAGAAATGGTGCGCCTGTGCCTAAAGCGTGTAAGGGAAATGAATGCAACACGATTATAGTAATCAGTCAGCGAACGTTATAGTTCGTTATTAATAATTATGTATAACAGGATATTGTAAAAATTAAGTCAGGAAATTTTTATTAAAACGTTTCTTACATACCGTTATATTGTCTCGGCCATAAGAATATTCGTTTTGGGCCGCGAGTTTGACATGCTTGGTCTACATTACATTGGACAGTTTAGTAGGTGAGGGCTTAGTGAACCCATGCTGGGCTACAGTGATCATTGCTTTCTTTTCTAAGTGTTTAAAAACCATCTGTGGCCCTAGCTAGTTGGCTCAGTGGATAGACTGTTGGTCTGCAGACTCAAGGGTCCCTGGTTCAATTCTGGTCAAGGGCATGCATGTACCTCGGTTGCAGGCTCCTCCCTGGCCCAGGCACTGGTTGGGGCTCATGCAGGAGGCAACCAGTCGATATTTCTCTGTCTCTCCCTCTCTCTTCCACTCTCTCTAATAATCAATGGAAAAATATCCTCGGGCAAGGATTAAAAACAAAACAAACAAAAGCACAGCTGTGATTCTACATCTATCCGGGATAGAAACTGGTGGCTCTGTCAAGCTCTGCTTCATTGCATTTCGGACTCTCTTGTCTCTCAGTTTGATATATCATTGGTTATGTGCTATTCTTTCCACATCTATTTCTTATCTCTTGTAAACCTAAGCTTAGTACAGAGTTCTCTGTAGTTTGCTACACTAATCGCTGTAAGAACCTCCCTTATGTCAAAATCCTATGAAATTGTTATTTTAGATTTACATTCTGGAGAGCTTCCTAGCTATGAAGGCATCTCTAAGTTGTCCCTAAATTTAAAAAATATACATAAAGAAAAGAGAGAATTGCCGAAACCGGTTTGGCTCAGTGGATAGAGCGTCGGCCTGCGGACTGGAAGGTCCCAGGTTCGATTCCGGTCAAGGGCATGTACCTGGGTTGCAGGCACATCCCCGGTGGGGGATGTGCAGGAGGCAGCTGATCGATGTTTCTCTCCCATCGATGTTTCTAACTATCTCTCTCCCTTCCTCTCTGTGAAAAATCAATAAAATATATTAAAAAAAAAAAAAAAGAAAAGAGAATAAATTAAAATTCTGTTCTCAAAAAATTTAGGTACTTGTCAGATCTATACAACGTTCTAAACTGTTACTAAGCTTTTTTTTTTTTTTCTGCAGCTGTTTTTCAAAGTATTGTAATTATGGATCCTTGTAGACCTTTTAATCTTCACCTCTAAATCTGCAAAACAGGAACACGTGACTTAAACTGTCTGACTTCATGTGTGTTATAAATAGAAACTTACACTCTAATATTCTTTGAACTTTTTGGAGGCTGTATGCCTTATTGATTCAGAAAAATTGTTGTGTTTATTTCAGGAATACCTGTTCACATGTAAAGTGTCACTAAAGTTAGATGCATAGAATTTTGTGGCAGGAACACAATAGTGGTGGGCATGGAGAGGAGGGAGTATTTATTAAGAGTTTGCTGTGGCCCTAGCCGATTTCGCTCAGTGGGTAGAGCATCGACCTGTGGACTGAAGGGTCCCAGGTTAAATTCTGGTCAAGGGCACATGCTGGGATTGTGGGCTCCACCCCCAATAGGGGTCGTGCAGGAAGCAGCCTATCAATGATTCTCACCATTGATGTTTCTATCTCTCCCTCCTGCTCTGAAATCAATTAAAAAAATATGTATGTATATGTATGTGTATGTGTATATGTATATGTATATGTATGTGTATGTGTATGTGTATATGTATGTGTATAAAGAGTTTGCTATGTGCCAGGTCCTGTGTTGGAAGTAATCTAAGCGGTTGGTAACTGGGAGCTGGATGGAATGATCATTTCGGGATTGAAAGGTGGTTTCTGGTTGTAATGATGGTGCAGTTTGAATTGTTCCGTGTTTTTTTTTTTGAAGGAACAGTGAAAATGAGTACCTCACAGGACCAGAATGGCTCCAGTAAGAGAGAACCCCTTCTGAGGTGTCGTGATGCACAGAGGGACTTGGAGCTTGCCATTGGTGGAGTTCTCCGGGCTGAACAGCAAATTAAGGATAACTTGCGAGAGGTATAATGTGTGCTTTTCTCTTGCCGTGTCTGGACTCTTAGCACAGGCATGGTTAGAGCATGGCCAAGGTTTGGCTTCTCAGTGCCGACCAAGCAGTTTCACCCCATGCCTTCCATGGTCTGCCTGAAATGTTGATGTCTTTGATTCCAAAGGGAAATACAGATGTTAGAAGAGTTTGGAAAACTTTGTACCAAGAGAATTAAATTAGTTCAGCATGCATTTTTGATTGCTCTTCTTTGCGGTCCCTGTGCCAAGCAGTGCCATCCAAAAAAACCCCCCAAAAAACGAATGAGCAGTATACTTACTGTTCATCTGTATCCTGGATGCATAAAGGATGGCACAAGATCCTGTCCCCTAACATTTTTTAACTTATTGATTGCATGGTTTTGGTGGTGCAATGGTTGTGTAAATGACTGTTAGAGTAAGCCAGAATGAAATATGTTTGTTCCATTGACTTAATAGTATTCTTTTGGTGACTGGGGAGACCAAGTGGTATTACATGACTTTGAAATACTTTATTATACAGAAAAATGTGTTTTAAAATAATTTTTTAAAAAAATCTATTTTTACTGATTTCAGAGAGGAAGGGAACGAGAGAGAGAGAGAGAGAGAGAGAGAGAGAGAGAGAGAGAGAGAGAAATCAGTGATGAGAGAGAATCATTGATTGGCTGTCACTTGCACGCCCCCTACTGGGGATTGAGCCCACAACCCAGGTATGTGCCCTTGACTGGAATCGAACCTGGGCCCCTTCAGTCCCCAGGCTGGCACTCTATCCACTCAGCCAAACTGGCTAGGGCTAAAGTAGTTTTTTAAAAAGGGGTTCTCATTGATAATTTATAACTGTTCTGATTTTTTTCCTTAGGATTTTATATTTACCCCTCTTTGAATCACTGTATATGCTTCCAGAAACATTTACTTTACAATTTTACTTAAACTGTCTATCCTAGTGGTCTCTGGTTATTGACATATAGTGGCATATCTCTTTATCAAATTGGTCTACCGTCGTCAGTGGGTTGCTCATTTGTAATCTGAGAAAAGAGATAAAGGCTAGCTATTAAGTCAATAGTCTTATCTTATTACACTTGTAAATTTATAAAACTATAGGTTTTCAAATTATATGAAACACTGAGGGGGATCAATATTACCTGACATATCCTTATATTTTCTCTTGATTATTTTAGAACACCCAAAATTAACCTGGCTTCTTAGTATTGTGGGGGGATTTTAGAGCTTAGGTATACTTTTTTGGCTGGAATTCTTAAAATGGGTCCTTCCGGCTTTGGGGACACTAAGCCCAGAAATTATAGGTACAATTTTTAGCATGTGCATTTTTCTGGGGAGATGTCATTGGATAGCCAAAAGAATTTGTGACTCCTAATAGTTTAAGAACCTCACTGTTCAGTGGGAAATAATTATTTGGGCTTATAACAATAGTGAAGCTGCCCTAACCGGGTTGGCTCAGTGGATAGAGCGTCAGCCTGCGGACTCACGGGTCCCAGGTTCGATTCTGGTCAAGGGCATGTACCTTGGTTGTGGGCATATCCCCAGTAGGGAGTATGCAGGAGGCAGCTGATCGATGTTTCTCTCTCATCAATGTTTCTAATCCTCTATCCCTCTCCCTTCCTCTCTGTAAAAAATCAATAAATATATTTAAAAAAAATAACAATAATGAAGCTAATATTAATATGTATGTGTTTCCTAGATCAAAGCCCAGATTCACAGCTGCATAAGCCGTCACTTGGAATGCCTTCGAAGCCGGGAGGTGTGGTTGTATGAACAGGTAGATCTCATCTATCAGCTTAAAGAGGAGACACTTCAGCAGCAGGCCCAGCAGCTCTACTGGGTAAGGTGGCTGGTTTCTAGAGAATGTCTTTCCTGTATTGTGGCATCAGATAAAAGTTTAATCTCAAGTGCTGTTTGTTAACTTGGATATATTTGGTGCTTTTTGTATCATTGTGGCAAGGTGGTTTCATTTTTCTTATAGTTACTGGGCCAGTTCAATTGTCTTATTCATCAACTGGAGTGCACCCAAAACAAAGATCTAGCCAATCAAGTGTCCGTGTGCCTGGAGAGGTAAAGACTATCTTTGCTTGTTTTGATTTTTGGCATTTTGACTTTGGTGTATTAAAAAAAAAAGTCACTTTTGTAACTCATTGCACCTGTTGGATTTAACTTGACTTCTCTGTTCCTGTGATAAGATCATCTTGTTTTATATTTTTAATATTATACTTGGTGCATGGTTAAGTGATCTATCTTTGGTTGAGAGTCTTAGAAAAGTACAGTCATTTCAGATAATTCACAATTTGGCTTTTGCTTTGGATGAAGTTGAAATAGATATTTCTTTAAAATAGCCAGATTTTATTTATTTTTTTCTCCAGACTGGGCAATTTGACCCTCAAACCTGAAGATTCGACTGTCCTACTCTTTGAAGCAGACACAACTGCTCTGCGCCAGACCATCACCACGTTTGGGTCCCTCAAGACCATCGTGAGTAATACTGATCTCAGATGGTTCATAGTGTGCTTCTCAGGTCTGTGGCCTCACACGTGGTACTAAAACATCACAGTTTTACTTTGAATACTGGCTTTCTAGAGAATTTGGTGAACTTCAGAAATTTCACATTCTGATTGAGACGACAGGGCATTAGGCTGGTAGTTCTTGGGATGTGGTATTGACTCATGGATAATCTCAAGAATTCACCTGGTATTAAAACCTTTGACATATTTCTTATAAAATTTATGGCTTGAATGGTCTTTCATATAAAGAAGCAAACATGGTCTCATTTGTGTCTTGTTAAAAGTAGTAATACTGCCAATTGTGGTGAAATTTCTTATATGATGTTATGTAGTAAATAGAGATTTCTCAGATTTGATAACTACATTATAGATCATTGAATTTAGTGTAAAGAATATTCTATAGAAATGGTAATGCTTTGCTTAATACTTTTGAAATTATGAATTACAATTTCACTTTTTGATATGAAAGTTAACATTAATAAATATGATTATTTTGCTTTTATTTTATAGCAAATTCCTGAGCAGTTGATGGCTCATGCTAGCTCATCCAATATTGGGCCCTTCATGGAGAAAAGAGGATTTATCCCATTGCTAGAGCAGGTAAAATGTAATTTTGTTTCTGATAACTGATTTATTACTTGGCTAATATTTCTTTTGGGTTTAAGTAAATCACTGTTTTTGTTTTTGCTTTCATTTATTTGTAAAAAGGTAATGGGTTAGTTTATGCAATTAAATTCTTCCTTTGAGATGGACTGTCAAATAGAAATTTAGATGTTTAATAGGTGTTGAGTAACAGAAAGTTATTGTTATCAATTAGTTCATAAGGAATTATCATCAGCCCTAGCCGGTTTGGATCACTGGATAGAACATTGGCCTGTGTAGTGAAGGATCCAGGGTCCGATTCTAGTCAAGAACATGGACCTCAGTTGCAGGCTTCATATCTCCATTTGTGGTTGGGGTGCATGTGGGAGGCAACCAATCAGTGTGTCTCTCACATGGATGTTTCTCTCTGTCTCTCCCCTTCCCTTCCACTCTCTCAAAATCAATGGCAAAATATCCTTGGGTGAGGATTAAAGACCATTATAAACTTATGAACAAAAATAGATACAGAGGCAGAGCTGCCTCGAACAGACTGTCAAACTACAGCGGGAAAGCCGGTGAAGGTTGAGGGGCGGGGGGGCGAAAAGAGATCAACCGAAGGACTTGTATGCATGCATATAAGCATAACCAATGGACATAAGACACTGGGGGGTAGGGGAGGCCGGGGAATTGTTAAGGGCGGGAAAAAAAGGAGACATATGTAATACTCTTTGTAATACTTTAAGCAATAAAACAATTAAAAAAAATAAAAGCAATGTAAAAAAATAAAAATAAAAACACTTTCATCATTCCAAACAAAAACTCTGTACCCATTAAGCACTAACTCTACATTTTTCCCCACTCCCAGGCCTTAAAAAAAAAAAAAAGTCCTACTAGCGATCAGCGATTGAGAGCAAATGCATATGTAACAGCCGGTGGGCTAATTTCTTTATACCTGTCCCATGGCTTGGTCCCCCAATAGCACTGTATGTTGTTCAAAAAAAACCCAACAAACAAACAAACAAAAAAATTGTCATTAGCTCTCTGCTTGAGTTGGTTCTCTCTTGGGAATCCTTTTCTTTATAATTCATAGATTTGATTTACTTCTAAAGGCAATTCAAATATAGGTTTCTAGACATTGTGAGTTGAGAAAGAACCCTGGAACTCAGCCGTACTCCTTCATTTATAATTGTGAATATGGAGGCTTAAGGAAGTCATGCAATTTGTGAAGAGTTAGTGGCAAGCCAAGATTAGAGAGTTTAGGTCTCCTGCTTTCCTGAACTTTCTACTGCATTTGACATTCATTGCCTTGTTATGTGATTAGCAGAAGTCAGCATCCAGCACCACAGCTGTCCCTCTCAGTGAATGGCTCCTTGGAAGCAAACCGACCAATGGTCATCCAGCTCCTTACACACCCAGCACCAATCTCCAGGACTGGCTCACCCAAAAGCAGACCTTTGAGAGTAGTCAGGTATGTTGTTGCTTTTTTGTTTCTGAGGTAGATGTAGTAGTAGATGGGGTTAGTATGTCTTTGTTTAGTTTTTAGTTGTGGTCTAGAAACATGTATTTTTAATAACTTTAAATTACAATAGTGACATTTCTTTGCCATAGAAAGTTTAGTAAACAAAGGTCTGTATAAAGAAATACAAATAATCCCAACATGCAGAGACAACCACTGTAACATTTTTTTTTTATATACTTCACTAGAGGCCCGATGCACGGATTCGTGCACCAGTGGGGTCCCTCACCCTGGCCTGCGCCCTCTCGAAATCCAGGACCCCTTGGGGAATGTCGGACTGCTGGTTTTGGCCCTATCCCTTCAGCAGGGCCGAAACTGGCAGTCCAACATCCCCCGATGGCTGTAGTAGTGCGCAAAGCGGCAGGCGGCCTGGGAGATGCCCGAGCCCCGTCTGGTTGCCCCGCTGCCTCCCACTCATCCCAGCTGCGCTGCGCCCGCCTCTGCCACCATTGCCATGGAGGCAGGGGAGGTGGGAGAGGCTGGTGCTGCCCCAGCTACACTCGCCAGCCATGAGCCCGGCATCTGGTGCCCATTTGTCAGCTGAGCAGCTCTCCTGCTGTGGGACGCACTGACCACCCGGGGGCTGCTCCTGTGTTGAGCGTCTGCCCCCTGGTGATCAGTCATAGCTACCAGTAGTTCAGTTGTTCGGTTGACTGGTTGCTTAGGCTTTTTTATTTTTATTTTATTTTATTGGTTTTTCTACAGAGAGGAAGGGAGAGGGATAGAGAATTAAAAACATTGATGAGAGAGAAACATCAATCAGCTGCCTCCTGCACACCCCCTACTGGGGATGTGCCCACAACCAAGGTACATGCCCTTGACCGGAATTGACCGTGGGACCCCTTCAGTCCGCAAGCCGATGCTCTATCCACTGAGCCAAACTGGTTAGGGCTTAGGCTTTTATATATATATAGATTTTTCTATGCATACATATACTTAAAAAATTATACTTTAAGTCCTGTTTTGGCTATTAGATTTTTTTTTTTTTTTCACTAAAAATATATTTCTCTGTCACTTAATTTCTTCCATAAAATCCTTAATAGAATATGTTTCATCAATTGGCTATAATTTAATCTCCAGGTTTTTTTTAGTGGGGAATATAAACAAAGTTCCTCTAAACATTCAGGAGCTAATTCTTTGTTAGTTCCTTAGGAGAAAATACCTAGAAATGGCATTCTTAGATTACAGTTATAGATACATATTACCAACTTGGCTTTCCAGGAAATTGATATCAATTTATATTCCCCCCAGCAGAATATTGATTGTATTTGCTTCCCTGAAACTTCTCTAAGAGTACTTATAAGTTTATTTGTGAATTTGACACAAAATACAATTTTGTTTTAAGGAAATTGAGTATTTTTCCTATTTATTAGCCTTTTTCTATGATTTGCTTAATTATATCTTTTGCTCACTTTTGTCTTTATTCATAGAGGCATATTATGTAGAACTAATTTCTTTTCTATTTATGCTACAAATGCTTCTTCTTAGTTTGCCTTTAATATTTTCCATTTTTTTAAATTTCAGAAAATGTTTTTTATGTACTCAAATATTTTATTATTGCCACAGAGAAATCCCTTGTCTCTGTATACTTAAATTTAGAGACACTGGGCAATGTAGTAAATAGGCAAATGGGACTGTTACCATTGAATCCTAAAGCACTCATCCTGTTCTGGTGAACTAATACTGTGTACTTTTTGCTTAGACTTCCTCCAGAACCTGCAGTGTCTTTAGTAATGTCTGGGGCAACCTAAAGGGCTTGGAAAACTGGCTCCACAAGAGCCAACAAGAAGTTGTTCCTGAAAAACCAAATTACGAAAAGGGTAACAGCTGTTCTACCACCAGTTCATGCTCCATTGATACTGACAAGGTTGAAGATCCAGAGCTTCTTGATCAAGATGAGATGAGTCTTTCTGATTGGCTGTTGACTGACCAGGACTCTCCAAAGCTGGAGAAGCCTGGGAATGGCAGCTGTGAAACCAGTGAGAAGTTTAAGCGCCTGTTCCAGGTGTTCCATGAGTCCTACAATGTGAATGATTGGCTTGTCAAGTCCGATTCCTGTACCAATTGTCGGGGCAACCAGCCCAAAGGTGTGGAGATTGAAAACCTGGGCAATCTGAAGTGCCTGAATGACCACAGTGAGGCCAAGAAAACCTTGTCCACTCCCAGCATGGTTATTGAGGATTGGCTTGTCCGGAACCATCAGGACCCATATAAAGTAGAGGAGGTCTGCAAAGCCAATGAGCCCTGTACAAGCTTTGCAGAGTGTGTGTGTGATGAAAATTGTGAGAAGGAAGCCATGTCTAAGTGGCTGCTGGAGAAAGAAGGAAAGGATAAAAATGGTATGCCTGTGGAACCAAAATTTGAATCAGAGAAGCATCCAGATTCCCTGAATATGTGGCTCTGTCCTTCCAGGAGAGAGGCAGCAGAACAAGCTAAAATATCAAAGGCAATGGCTGCTTCCAAAATTGCTGATTCCTTCAAAATGATAAGGAACAGTTCCTTGTCAGAGTGGCTCATCATACCCTCATGCAAAGAGGCACATCCCAAAGATAGAGCTGGCAAACAAAAGCTTATGAGTCCGGTGGCCACTTCCTGGTGTCCCTTCAATACAGCTGACTGGGTCTTGCCAGGAAAGAAGACAGGAAACCTCAGCCAGTTATCCTCAGGAGAAGACAAGTGGCTACTACGAAAGAAGGCCAAGGTGGGCAGACATCAAAATAGCACCATTTGAAATATATTTAACAGGTTTTTATTTTCCTAATCCCAAACCTTGCAAATGGCCCAGATCCTTAAACATGTTAAGTGTTAAATTTTGCTTAAGTATTGATTTTGGTACAGTATTAGCAACAGAATGGAGGATTTGTGAATATTCAGACTAAAGTTTTTGAACATTTTCCAGGTTCACAATCTCCATCCTGCAGGGGGAGAAATACACAAAACACGCCAGCCTGTTTTATTGCTATTTATGGGAAAAAATTTAGGGGCAGAGGAAACAATTGTCACCCTTGCTCTTAAAGAGAGAATGCCCAACATTTACATTATTCCTTATTGACGCTGTTTTATTGGGAAGATTATTTGTAGCAACTCATCTTTTTGTCTTGCAGGAAGTATTACTTAATTCACCCCTGCAGGAGGAACATAACTTCCCCCCAGAACATAACTATGCCCTCCCAGCAGTTTGTGATCTCTTTGCCTGTATGCAGCTTAAAGTTGATAAAGAAAAGTGGCTATATCGAACTCCTCTACAGGTGGGTACATGCCAATAGTGTACGTATTAGATTTTACAGCTTGTTTTCTTATATATAAACTTGTACTTTGCCCATTAAACCAAATTCATATTAATGGAATGAATATTAGGCAAATGAGGGGAGAGGGAGATAATAACATTTCATGTATTTCACTTGAATTTGCTTTATGAAATAACTAGTACATATTTGAAAGTGGCATTTCAAGATATGATGTAGTTGTTGAGAATTTTTGGAACCTGTGTGGATTCAAATAGCTTATTGAGAAATGAGTGAGCTTTTAAGGTGGGGAGAAATGTTTTCATGCTACAGTGAAGTGATTGTTTATCTGTGGACCTTTCTTTACAGGAGAGGGATAGAGAGTTAGAAACATCGATCAGCTGCCTCCTGTTTTCATGCTACAGTGAAGTGATTGTTTATCTGTGGACCTTTCTTTACAGATGTGAAGGAATGGAGTACTAGAATCAAGCAACTTTTCTGCAAATCATCACATTTCCATGAGCCGAGTGACTGCAGCTTGCCAAATCATTGTGTTTCTGGGTGTGACCAGCCAGTTTAGTTCCTTTCCTGCCTAATTTTGAACTAGTGAAGAGAAATGTCATCACTTATGAATTACTGTGTAAAAGAAAAAGGCTGTTTGTTGATGCTGAGGTGATTCAGTTTCTTCTTACAGTTCACCCCTACACTAGAAAGAAACACAGTATCTTGGTGGATATTTCTTTCACAAGTCTCCATGGCTCCTTAGATTGTGTTGTTGTTAGTATATTCAAACTGTAGTTTTAAAAACGAACGAAAGAATTCTATATTCAAGGTGTTGATTTAAAGCTAGTCAACTTTCTTAACCTTTTGGTTACCCTTCTTTAGATGCTTCCCTTGCTGTGGGTTTTTTCCATTAGTGGTGGAAGTCATTATTTCTTCTGTTTAAGTAATATATAGTATATTTCACACAAATAATTAACCTTGAGAATAGTGATTTTTTTTGGGGGGGTAAACCAAAATGTGTGCCAACATCTTGGCAATTTTTGACATTAATTACAAAGCATTTAACCCACAGGTCAGGTTCTACATTTTCTTTTGTAAGAAATTAAAGCTACTGTAAATTTTGTATTTATTTCCTTAAGTGTTATTAAATTATCTAGTGAGCTCTTTTAGAAAAGCTCTAAATTGCTTTAAGATGATATTCTGGGTAATCCTAACCTATTTGAAAATATTCTGAAGAAATGCAAGCAAAAGAGCCCCAGTGCCGATTAGTCAGAGAGCAAAAGGCAAAACATGTTGGAAATATAGTACTTGAACTATTCATTATCCTAAGGTTTGGTTATTGGTGTATCCTGTGTAAATGGAAGTTGAGCTTGACATTAACACTTGGTGCTTTTAACTAGGGATAAATTAAATGTCCTTACTGCAAGCAGTGTACCTTGTACCTTTACCTCTAAAAGTGCAGTGAGCTGGCTGTTCTGAACACTTGTGCCTTGGGGTGTTTATTGAAGTTTTATGAAAACTGGTGTTTTCTCAAAATTCTTAAAGTCATGCCCACGATTTAAAAAGTTTCTCTGTAGGAGAGAGATGGGATTTGTTTTTAAATTCTTTGATAAGCTGCTTTCCAGGCTTCTAAATTAAGCCACTCAACTTGCCCTGGTATATGGTATTGGAAATACTTTAAAGTGTGTGATGTTATCATCTAAAAGCTCCTTTGGGGAAATTTCCGTCTTAACAGTGCCGTTTGCCATACAGCTTCATTGGAATTCTTGAACCATGGCTGGAAAAAGCCCTGTATTATTTTATCTCCCCCAGACACCATTTGGAACTTTAATAAAGGTGGTGGGTAAAAACGTAAGGAGCCTTTCCCTTATTTTAGGTTGCAGGAAACTTTGTAGTTTTTGAGGTTTAACACTGTGTATTCCTACATTTACATTAATCACTTTGCTAATTAGTATGTAAAAGTCTTTTGCATTGATGCATTTTGTACTTCCCTCCATTAAAAGTCTAACAGCCATAGTTGTGTGTATTTGTAAAAGTATCTTGTAACAAAATATTCTATCACATGTAAATGTGATAACCTTTGGTTAGTAGTACACTGATAACAAAAATTTTTATATTCAATAAAATATCTGTATTTTATGAATCTTAAGTTAGCAAGAACAGGTATGCTGCTACTAACTTCCATTTTCAGTCTGTTGCTACAAACTCTTCATGTTATTCCTTTTAATTTTCAATCTGCTAAAACTTTCTGCCAAATCCCTCCTTACTAGATGCATCCAAAAAGGCCCCACTTTTTCCAATCATAACCATCAGTTGTTTAGAATTTATTATATATATGTATAATCTGCAGTGCAATTTTATTTTTTCATATATAGAAACTAGAAATAACTTGCCTTTCCTTTCACTTTCCCAAGGCTTCCTTAAAAACTTAAAACTCTTATCTATTACATCTCTTTTTCTAACTATCCCCAGAAAGGGGACCAGTTTATACATAATTAAGCATGATCACTGGACAGGTGGTTCTAGCACACTAATGGTATAATGTTTAATCTGAAGTATCTTGAGGTTATTTAGTGTCAACTCTATTGGAGGAAAATTTTAACCCATCTGTTAATACTGCCAGTAACCCTTCATTTCAATTCAAACATGAAAACATGTTTTAGCCTAGTTGGGGCAAAAAAAAAAATGCTAAGAGTAAATTTCACTTTAAAATCAGAAAGATGTTTTTAAATGGAAACACCCACTATGTTTACGTTGGAGTGGACTTTGGTTTTTCACACTTTATTGGTAATACAAGGCAATATTACAGTCTTGGATCATTAAATGAACAAACATGGTGATATAGTACTGACAACAAGAATGACCTGAATGATGGGAGTAAGTGGTTTTCCAGTTCAGGAGGTAACAAAGAGAACAGGTGCAAGATCTTGAAAAAGAACCATATTACTCAGCCACCAAAGGGTTTTGGCTTCAACTCACTAATGGCTGGAAGGAAAGCCAGTCTAGTCAACCATCTTCATCACAGCAATTCGGAAATCTGCACAATTTTTCAAACTATTTGTAGGTATAGAAGAGAACTCCAGATGGACTCATAAATTGATCTGGATGACTACTAAAGTGTCCTCTAGTCATAAGCTGGCAGAATCTTCAGAGTGACTGTTGGAGCAAAGAGCCCTTCATGTGCTCCCAGTTGTTATATAGTGCATAGAGGCTAGTAAGTGTCAGTCCTGCTAGACCACCTCGTGCTACCCCTCGAAGACCACCTGGGGGAGAGAGAAAGAGATTTGTTTTGCATAGTGTCCTAGCACCAAAGGATTAAACGAGTATCAAGATGGAGACATAGCATTCATGTTTATAAATACTCCATCCCAAGCGGAAAAAAGTTTTACAAGTGATATAATAAACCAATCAGGAGATAAATGCCCTAAATCAGTGGTTCTCAACCTTCTGGCCCTTTAAATACAGTTCTTCATGTTGTGACCCAACCATAAAATTATTTTTGTTGCTACTTCATAACTGTAATGTTGCTACTGTTATGAATCGTAATGTAAATATCTGATATGCAGGATGGTCTTAGGTGACCCCTGTGAAAGGGTCGTTTGACCGCCAAAGGGGTCTCGACCCACAGGTTGAGAACCGCTGCCCTAAATGATCTGTTCAATATACATACTATATTTCATTTAAAACATTTTTCAGTGTCACAATTTTTACATAAGAATCAGTATTAACAATTTCTTGACTTTTCTCAATCTGACTTGTTCTTACAATACTTTTAAAGATCTTATGCTTATCATTGAAGTCTCAGCCAGATAAAGTATTTCCTAATACAGACTTCACTGGCACTGTCAACTGACGTAAAGCAATAATATAGACAAGGCGACACTCTCTTTGGAAATAGTGAGCAGCCTGTGGACTCTGCACATGTTCTGAAAATACTATAAAGATTCAAGTAGTGGTAATAAGTGGCTATAATGAAGGTTTAGGTGCTGGTGAAGCACCACTCCCCTGCCCCCATTCCTACACTGATGTGTCAAACAATCTTCTACAACTACCAAGCAATGAGGCTTTTAGCATCATCACACTAGTTGAAAACATTCAAGGATTAGACTCTGCTTAACAACAAAATAGTTTTCGTGTTGAAAAGGATCAGCAATAGATATTTTGTTTGAAATGCAGAAACAAAAATGTTTCAACCAGTTATTTGAAAATAGCCCCCAAGTCTGCTAAGACAATGGGGGTTACCAAAAGTAACTTAAGTATTTGATGTTTTTTACAGTTTTGTAAACAAGTAGGGACCATAAACTTTAGGCAGCTACTTCTGCACCTGTGGAGTATTTTTTTCAAGTTGTGTCAGGATCGCAAAGGGAATGGAGCTGCAATCCAGTGATTACCTTATTGAGGTCTGAGACAGGAAATTCTGTGAAATTCAGTGATGTTGCCAAATTCACTTCAACCATTTCGGCAATGAATGTCCTGCCAGATGGTTTCAGCTGATAGATTAAATGGCCACTCCTTCCAGGAGCCTCTCTAGTCTGAAGAGTTCTGATAGCTGAGCTGCTTATTAGGCTTCCACTATGAAACGCCCTAATTATCTCTCTTAAACAGACCCAAACAGAAACTGCATACACAACATCTATAAGTAGATGTCAAATATGGGGAGGGGGAGAGTCAGAAACATCAGAAAAATTTAAATAGGAGATATCTCCTTGAAGTCCAGATCTCTATATCATCTTGTTATAGTTAGACTAGGCATTGCAGTTTAACTTGCAACTGTATTCAATGTGGTTGAAACAAAAGTAATATACACTCAATCTGCTCATTTAAAACAATCTCAGTTTAATAAGGACCTATGAATTATTTATTTTTTTTTAAAGGATCTTTGCTTTTATTTTTTATTTATTTATTTATTTTAAATATATTTTATTGATTTTTTACAGAGAGGAAGGGAGAGAGATAGAGAGTTAGAAACATCGATGAGAGAGAAACATCGACCAGCTGCCTCCTGCACATCTCCCACTGGGGATGTGCCCGCAACCCAGGTACATGCCCTTGACCGGAATCGAACCTGGGACCCTTCGGTCCGCAGGCCGACGCTCTATCCACTGAGCCAAACCGGTTTCGGCCCTATGAATTATTTTTGATGAGTATGTCAATAAAAAGTTCTATGGGCTGAAAGTGAACTATAATTAGACCAATTTCCTAAAATGGAAAAAACTACAAAGTACAGGAGAATAAAAACTAAGCTATCTGCAAGATCACTATGGCTCAGTTACTAAACCTAAACGTTTGAGTATAATGAGTATAAACAGATTACAAAAATTTAATACTCTAACCATTCTGAGTCAACACAAAGCAAAAGCTAAGGTGGCCTCACTGCTATTGATCAGAAAAATGATGGAAGGCAAGGAACTGAAAGCACAATAATTTCCGCAGATACTCTTTCCTGGGATCAAACATTCGGACTAACTTCCCTGGACCTTTAGGTTAGGACAGTGGTCGGCAAACTGCGGCTCTCGAGCCACATGTGGCTCTTTGGCCCCTTGAGTGTGCCTCTTCCTAAGCCTTAGGAGTACCCTAATTAAGTTAGTAACAATGTACCTACCTATACAGTTTAAGTTTAAAAAATTTGGCTCTCAAAAGAAATTTCAATTGTTGTACTGTTGATATTTGGCTCTGTTGACTAATGAGTTTGCTGACCAATGGACTAGGGCAGTGGTTGGCAAACTGCGGCCCCTTGAGTGTGGCTCTTCCACAAAATACCACGTGCGGGTACGCACGGACAGTGCGATTGAAACTTCATGGCCACACTCAAGGGGCCAAAGAGCTACATGTGGCTCGTGAGCCGCAGTTTGCTGGCCACTGGGTTAGGAGGTTGCAGACCCAGAGCTCTGAAGTCTGCCTGTGGGTTTGGAAATAGCTGCTAACTGCCTGCCAGTGGCCCACTGCTTTGAGTATCTTAACATAGTTTCTACTTGACCCTTTTGGGAAGATTTTTACACTAGTTTTCAGCCATCAGATGAACCCCTCCTGGGCATAGGCACTGGGGTAACAATGAAACTGGAAGGCTTTCCGATCTATGGGACATCAATGGCATATTAAGTATTCATTAACAATTTATCCCCCAGAAAGCTTTCTACTTTCTGAGCAAAATAAAACAAACTTAGTTCAAATCAAGTTACTTCTTTGAAGACTAGAAAAAAATTATTACCAGCAAAAAAACCACCAAAAATATGCAGTGTTTGATGTACTAAGCACAGTTAATCCTTACTCTAGGGTAGCCTTTTATCACATACCAGCCATGTTTTAGTTTTAACTCTTACCACTAACTTTAGAGTTTTCCAACTGGTTGATCTATTAAAAGTTTGAGGACGTTGGCTTTAAGCTTTCTGTAATCAACTTGTGGCTAACTAAGCACAGGAAGTTGATTAGCAAATAACTTGTTCTGAACACAGAGTAATCAAATAAGGCCAACGGTCGGTGTCTGTAAAGCACAACAAACAAGAGACGTGTTTCACAGATTTACCTTCCATCTTTTGGATCCTTACACAACTCTTCCAGCGAGGGCAAATATTCCTTCTAATCATGGGGAAACGAGGCCCAGAATCTTTAAATGCCTTTTGGGAGGCAGAGAGCTGGCTAATGGCAGAGCTTATATATTGAACTGATAATTACTTTAGAGCAGGAATTGGCAAATTTTTCTTAAAATGGACAGAAAATAAGTATTTTAGGCTCTGAGGGACCAAAGGCTATTATGCAGTACTTATATAAGCATTTAAAATGTAGCTAAAAAAAAAAAAAAGTAAAGCATAAGGAATAGACAGGCATCTGGCAAACAGGAACTGGTGGCCCCTGCTTTAGAAGAACCACCTTACCTACACACACACTGAGATGGCTACTAAACATTCAAAATTTTGCATGAACTTGACAATTGTTTTGTATTACTTTTAAAAATTGTTTTAAAATACATGTAACATGGTTATTTACCGTAAGTGTCCAGTTCAGTAGCATTATGTACACTGGCAATGCTGTGCTACCATCATCATCCATCTCCAGAGAACTTTCATCTTGCAAAACTGAAACTCTGTACCCACTACACTGTATCTCTCCACCCCACTCCCAAAGTAATGCCTGCTTTTTATGTTGTTAAATCTTTACTCACTTTTGTTTTTATCAAAGTAGCCCAATACATAATTTTTTTTTTTAATATATTTTATTGATTTTTTACAGAGAGGAAGGGAGAGAGATAGAGAGTTAGAAACATCGATCAGCTGCCTCCTGCACATCTCCTACTGGGGATGTGCCCGCAACCCAGGTACATGCCCTTTACCGGAATCGAACCTGGGACCTTTCAGTCCGCAGGCCGACGCTCTATCCACTGAGCCAAACCGGTTTCGGCCCAATACATAATTTAAAAGTCAAGATAGCACTAAAAGACTTTCATTATGCACAATAGTCTGGTGCAGTCCCATCCTCACCTTAATCCCCTGTTCCCTTCCCTAATTGTCTTTATCTTCATGATTCTAAAGAATATGATTATCGCCCTAGCTCAGGGGTGGGCAAACTTTTTGACTCGAGGGCCACAATGGGTTCTTAAACTGGACGGGAGGGTCGGAACAAAAGCATGGATGGAGTGTTTGTGTGAACTAATATAAATTCAAAGTAAACATCATTACATAAAAGGGTACGGTCTTTTTTTTTTTTAGTTTTATTCATTTCAAACGGGCCGTAGTTTGCCCACGGCTGCCCTAGCTGGTTTGGCTCAGTGGATAGAGCATTGGCCCGTGGACTGAAGGGTCCCAGGTTTGATTCTGGTCAAGGGCACGTACCTTGGTTGCAGGCTTGATCCCTAGCCCTTGTGGTTGTGCTTACAGGAGGCAACCAATTGATCTGTCTCTCACATGGATGTTTCTCTCTCTCTCTCTCTCTCTCTCTCTCTCTCTCTCCCCCTCCCTTTCATGCCCTCTAAAAATCAATGGAGCCCAGCCGGCGTGGCTTAGTGGTTGAGTGTAGACCTATGAACCAGGTGGTCACAACTGATGAAATGAGGGAATAGTGAGAAAAAGGTAGAAATCAAAGGTGACTGGGTCACTGGAGGCTGTTTCCTGCTTCCCTGTTTTTTTTCTCGTTGCTGTTATAGAGTGAAAGTGATATATGACTTTGAATAGCAGACACTGACTTTCCTGTGCTTCCCTCAGCACAGTCTCACTCCTCTCTCCCATGCAGTGCCAGTTCTTCCGTGTAACACTACACACACTAAACTATC